TTTTTTTTTTTTTTTTTTTTTTGTTTTTCGAATCGAAACACGCCTCGAAGTGTATAATAAGAATAATTCGTATAATTCGAATTCTCGATTCGCGAAGTTTCATTACTTTTCAATATCCAAGGGATACATTTTTCTTTTTCTTTTTCTTATTATTAATAATTTAACAAAGAGAATATTTTTTCCACTTGCGTTCAAGTGCAGGGACGTTTGGTCGATTGGGGGTCGAAAAATATCATCGCAGCGGCGGTCCAGGATATCGTGACGCTGTACAACGGGCAGAATGCAGGCGATAACACGGAGCTGGAGAACGTGGAAATATCCAATATTTCCGCGCTCAAGTGGAACAACGCGGGTAAGCGGTTCGATGAAAGCGAGAAAGAGAGAGAGAGAGAGAGAGAATTTCACAAGAAACGTTGTTATTGTAAGGTACAAAGCTGGCCATTTGCACCAAGTCGTCGCAGGTGAACTTGTACTGCGTCAACTCTCAAAAGGTAATTTGGACGAGCCCGTGCTGCGGCAAGAGCTACTTGCCACTGTGTTACGCCCGTTGCATCTGCTGGCCCCAGGATGATCGATACGTCATCACGTGAGTGCAATCCATTTGTCGAAAAAAGAATAAGAATGGCGCGGTAAATTTCAACGATTTGAGTTAATCTCAGTATATTCATATTTATCGAAAAATTGTTTCGTATTTTCTTTTCTTTAAAGTTTTCTTTAAATATTCGCCCATCGCTACAAGTAGAGTCCAAAAAATTGAAAAAAGAATAAAAATGCCACGCGTTGTTGAATTTCAATAATTCGACTTAATCTGAATATATTCACATTTACATTTGAATGGAAAAATTGTTTCGAATCATTGAATTGAAATTTATAATTTATAATAATATAATAATGATATATAATATATAATAATAATTATATAATATATAATAATAATTTTAATTAATATTGCAATCGATCCAGCATTTTCTTTTCTTTGAAATTATCTAGATATTCACTCATCACGTGAGTAGACTCCAAAAAATCCAAAAAAGAATGCATTAAATTTCAACGATTTGACTTAATCTCAATATATTCGTATTCTGAGAACTCACGAATCGAAAAATTGTTTCGAATCGTGGATTGAATCGATCCAATATTTTCGTCACGTGAATAGAATCCAAAAAATCCAAAAAAGAAAAGAATGCATTAAATTTCAATTAATGCAATAATTTGACTTAATCTCAATATATTCACGTTTACGAATCGAAAAATTGTTTCGAATCGTGGATTGAATCGACCCAATAAGAAATTTCTTTTCTTTAACTAATATTCGTATTTCTAAGTCATCACGTGAATAGAATCCATTAGTCCAAAAAATCCAAAAAAGAATAAGAATGAAATATTAAATTTCAACAATTTAATCTCAATATATTCAATATATTCTGAGAACTAATTCACGAATCGAATAATTGTTTCGAATCGTGGATTAAATCGATCCAATATTTTCTTTTCTTTAAAGTTATCTAAATATTCACTCATCACGTGAGTAGGCTCCAAAAAATCCAAAAAAGAAAAAGAATGCCGCATTAAATTTCGACAATTTAATCTCAATATATTCGATATATTCTGAGAACTAATTCACGAATCGAAAAATTGTTTCGAATCGATCCAATATTTTCTTTTCTTTAACTAATATTCGCATTTCTAAGTCATCACGTGAGTAGAATCCATTAGTCCAAAAAATCCAAAAAAAAAAAGAATGACGCATTAAATTTCAATAATTTCTTTTCTTTGATTTAAAGTTATCTAAATATTCACTCATCACGTGAGTAGACTTCAAAAAATCCAAAAAAGAATAAAAATGCCACGCGTTGTTGAATTTCAATAATTTTTCTTAATCTTAATCTGAATATATTCATATTTACGAATCGAAAAATTGTTTCGAATCATTGAATTGAAAGTATTGCAATTGATCCAGTATTTTCTTTTCTTTAAAGTCATCTAAATATTTCTAAGAATTCTTTCTCTACGACCTTCCCAACATTTATTATGGGATGCGTATTTATATAGACATTCTCCTTCAACATACATTAACGTCTTATCACATATCACACACACACATACACACACACACACACATTCTCATTCAACATACATTAACGTCTTATCACATATCACACACACACATACACACACACACACACACTCATTCAACATACATTAACGTCTTATCACATATCACATACACACACACACACACACAGACATTCTCATTCAACATACATTAACGTCTTATCACATATATCACACACACACACACACACACATATATATATATAAATATATATATAAATATAGTTAATCGATTGACTACCGAGTTTATTGCGATTTGATCGATGTCGCGGATGCGGTAAATAATGGTATTTGCGTTAGTCGTTAACGCGTGCACGCCTCGAGGAGAAGCGTACATTCGATCGGACGGGACGCGATAAACTGATTTCACGGGTTGTGAAATGACCGCTTGGGTTTAAACCGAAATTAAATTCAATCGAAACGCGACGATAAAACCAGATCCGATCGATTTATATATTATATATACCTGTATATACACACCTCTATATACCTTTATATACGCCTCTATATATACACACACACACACACACACATATATATATATATATATATACATATATATATTTTGGATTCGATCTGAAGCAAAGGAGAATTCAAAATATATATATTTTTTGGATTCGATCTGAAGCAAAGGAGAATTCATAAAGAGTTGGCCGAGTTGAAGAGATTCGTTTCGTTGCGTGTCATTTGCAGCGGATGCGTGGGAGTGATCACGGTTCATTCGGTGGAAAATGGCGACCTCGTCCAATACAATCACGCCCACGTCTCCGAGATTTTGCTGCTCGAATTTTCCTCCAATTATCGATACATCGCCTCCGCCTCTCATCACTCCTTAGACAGGAATATACGAATATTCCTATGGCCTTATCTCATCCCCTACGTGGACATCGATTACTGCGAACCCGTCCTGGTAAGTGAAATATTCTTCCTAAATATATATATATTTCTTCAGAGTACATGAAAATATATAGAAATTTTCACACAATAATAGTAAAAAAAAAACAATTTGTAATATGTAAAAAATAAAAATATGTATGAAATAAAAAAAATATAAAATATAAATAATAAAATAAATAATAATAATAATAATAATAATAAAATAAAATAAATAAAATAAAAATATAAAATAAAAAGCAATCTGTAATATAAATAATATGTAAATAATATAAATAATATAAATAACATGTAAAAAAATAAAAATATGTAAAAATAAAAAGATAAAAAGCAATATCTGTATTATGTAAAAAATAAGAATATAATATATAAAATATGTAAAATATGTAAACGTAGAAACAGAAATACTTGATTGCCCGAATACATTTGTATGATATATAATTCAATGAGTTTTTAATAATTTGGAGGGTACGGTTTCAGGCGTTGGCCTGGCACCCTTACGAAAGCGGTTACCTGTGTATCGGCGGTGGTTACGGGAACGCATCGCTGTCGCTGTGGAACGTGAACAAATTGGTCCCGGAGGGTTATCGAAACGTGTACTTTCACGGCGCTGTGAAGAACCTCGCGTGGAACAAGCACAGCGCGGAGCTGGTCGTTAATTGGTCATACTTCGTGCAACAGGCCGAATGCACGTTAATGCCCGTCCTGGGCAGCCTTGATCGGGTTGTGGACATGATAATGGTGGATAAGGATTTGCAAGTCAACAGTATCATGTGGAACCCCGATCACACGCAGTTGGGTAAGTTTGGATTCCTTCTTTGCCCGGTTATCCAGAATATCGCCAAGTTCAATAACTGGAAGTAAAAACAGTTTACCATAGTGGATTATTCGAATTTCTAATGCATGCACGAATTAATTAATTAATGGGTGGTCGAGTATTTATTGTAATTTATTGTAATTAATCGTAATTCTTCGAGGATATTTTAAGAGATATTTTAATATATTTTTTTGAATTTTTAGAATTGATTTAAAAATTTGTTTTTTCTTTTTTTCGTTAATTTGGACGATGGAAAGTAAGTTATATATAAATTATATATTTTTTTCTCAGCTGTTCAGTATAACGAGTCTTTGTGCATGTGGAATTTCTTCGGTGACGAATACCAGTGCCAAAAAAATAAGAAGAAGCCGCGTAAAATTCGTGCAAATAAACGAGATAACGTAAAATTCACGAATTTCAAGGAATTCGAGCAATATAATATACGATAAAACAACGTACGTATGGGTGTATAGAAGAAAATTTAACTTTTTTATATTCTATTCTTCCTTATTTATCGCGCCAATATTGTTATAATTCTTCTTTGTTCATCGAGTATCTTTCTAATACAATTTATTTTATTTATTTAACTATTTATTTCATTCGCCGTAAAAGTTAAGGGAAAAGTCTTATTTAACGAAATATGAATATTTATTATTTTATTTCGATGTAATATTTACTCGAATATAGAGATACATGGATACGTATTTGATTATTTGCTGGTACAAATAATATATATATATATATAAAAGTAATTTCATTCAAAATTTCAATCGTTATAAATTGAATTTAAAATCGGTGATGAATTATTGAATTTAAATAAATGCGATTCAATAGAATTTGTAATTCTAATTTGAATTTTTTTTTTCCACGCCATTTTCATTTTCTCGGCTCGAGAAATACACGTTCAAATACGCGTCCTTCTCTTCTCGATCCTCGCCTCCCATTCACTCTCTCGATCGCCTGAAATCGAAGGAAAACGTAAAAGAGGGGAGGGTGGACAGGAATAATAAGAACAACATCGAAAGTCGTTTCGATTATAGCGCGGCAACGAATTAAGGATGATTATGGTCGAAGCGCGCGCAATTTAAATTTTCCCGGCGTCCATTTCACAGCAGGTTTTATCGATCGTCCGAAAGATAAGGGTTACACAGCCTCGTGCTCAACAACTGTTAACGACCGTTCGTATTATTATCAAATAGATTTCCATGTTTCGCCACCTTCGGCCGTTCCCAGCTGAATTATCCCATTGAATTATCCCCGAGGTTGTTAATTACACGAGAAGAGGATAATCTAGTCGGCCATTTTGCGTGATTATCGTTTGAAAAGTATTAACTAACCGAATACGTATTATTTTTTAGATTTTTATTTTCTGAACTCGCTCCAGAAGAAAGAGGAAATGATTATCAATGAAAACAAAAATTATCTCTCTATTATTAATTGCACGAGAAGAGGATACGTCGGCCATTTTGTGATACATTGCGTGATTATATCGTTTGAAAAGTATTTGTAAGCGAATATTTGTTTTTTTAGATTTTTATTTTCTAAACTCGCTCCAGAAGAAAGAGGAAATGTTTATCAATGAAAACAAAAATTATTTCTCATTAATTGCACAAGAAAAGGATACGGCCATTTTGTGATACATTGCGTTTCTTTAAATTTTTATTTTCTGAACTTGCTCCAGAAGAAAGAGAAAATGTTTATCAATGAAATCAAGAATTATCTCTCAGTCATTAATTGCACGAGAAAAGGATACGTCGGCCATTTTGTGTACATTGCATGATTATTCGTTTGAAAAGTATTTGTAATCAAATATGTATTAGTTTTTTAGATTTTCTAAGCTCACTTTAGAAGGAAGAGGAAATGTTTATCAATGAAAACAAGAATTATTTCTCAGTCATTAATTGCACGAGAAAAGAATACGGCCATTTTGTGATACATTGCGTTTTTTTAAATTTTTATTTTCTGAACTCCCTCCAGAAGAAAGAGGAAATGTTTATCAATGAAAACAAGAATTATTTCTCAGTCATTAATTGCACGAGAAGAAGATACGGCCATTTTGTGATACATTGCGTTTTTTTAAATTTTTATTTTCTGAACTTGCTCCAGAAAAAAGAGGAAATGTTTATCAATGAAATCAAGAATTATCTCTCAGTCATTAATTGCACGAGAAAAGGATACGTCGGCCATTTTGTGTACATTGCATGATTATTCGTTTGAAAAGTATTTGTAATCAAATATGTATTAGTTTTTTAGATTTTCTAAGCTCACTTTAGAAGGAAGAGGAAATGTTTATCAATGAAATCAAGAATTATCTCTCAGTCATTAATTGCACGAGAAGAGGATACATCGGCCATTTTGTGTACATGATTATCGGTATCGTTTGAAAAGTATTTGTAACTGAATATGTATTCGTTTTTTTAGATTTTTATTTTCTAAACTCGCTCCAGAAGAAAAAGAGAGGAAATGTTTATCAATGAAATCAGAATTATCTCTCAGTTATTAATTGCACGAGAAGAAGATATGTCAATCATTTTGTGTATATTGCATGATGAAAAGTATTTGTAATCGAATATGTATTCGTTTTTTTAGATTTTTATTTTCTAAACTCGCTCCAGAAGAAAGAGGAAATCTTTATCTCTCAGTCATTAATTGCACGAGAAGAGGATACGTCGGCCATTTTGTGACACATTGCGTGATTATATCGTTTGAAAAGTATTTGTAACCGAATATATATTCGTTTTTTTAGATTTTTATTTTCTAAACTCGCTCCAGAAGAAAGAGGAAATCTCAGTCATTAATTGCACGAGAAAAGGATACATCGGTTATTTTGTGTATATCTTTGCGATTATCGTTTGAAAAGTTTTGTTTGTAACCAAATACGTTTTTAATATACTTTAAATTTTATTTTCTGAAATTACTCTAGAAATTGTATTCTTCTTCATTGTTGAATATAATCTTGAAAGTATTACGAAGAGGCATCGGTATTCTTCGATATCCTCTTCATCTTCCATTAAACTAAAACCAAGAATGATACAAAAACGACTCGCTCGATGCAATCATCAACTTATCTCCCCTTTCATATTCCTTTTCTTCCTCTATCCAACTATCTGGAACCCGATGGATTAATCCAGTTTAAGCATTCTTCGATTTTCTTCTCTCACGAAAATCGATCTTTTCCCTTCTTTCGCTCGAGTGAAAAAACGATCATCATCGACTTCTCCGAGGAACGAAGTTCTCCTTTTTTTTCTCCTCTTCGCCTCCCTCCACTCGTTATGGAAATCTTATGGGAGATTTCGACTCGTACGTGTCCCTCGAGCACGCGTGTTTCGTTAATGGCCACAAATTACCATCCACTCCACTCGTACCATTTCTCGTTTAAGATGAAGCAACTAGAGCAGAGGCGTGGTATTAACAGGGCTAAACAACGAGCGAGCAAGATGAGCGAGGAGAAATGGCTATCGATGAAAAATCAAGCAGGCATTCGCCTTTGCGCTTCCCTTCGCGATCGTGTGCCCAATCGAACGATAAGTTAATCGATGACGGAAATCGGTGGCCAGCCCCCGTTGAATTATCGCCTCGCGTAATTTCTCCGCCTCCCCTCTCCCCTCTCCCCTCTCCTCCTCCTCCTCCTCCTCCTCCTCCTCCCCCCACCCGCCAATTACCTCTGATTAAACGATAGCCCACATCGAGGATGATCAACTCGATCATCCGGATTCGTGCATCCGGACGGACGCCAACTTGTGCCAAGTTTTAACGATTTAATCGATTCTTCCATTTTCTTCGCGTCTCGTGAAGCGAGAGAAGAATATGAAGAGTTCTTGGGGATGGGTTGTGAGAGGATGGAAATTATTTTGTACGATAGATAGTGAAGGATATTTTTAGGGGAATCATTGAAGAAATTACAATTACAATTTTTAAAAGAAAAGTAGATAAAGATATGTAATTTTTAAAGTTTGCACATTTTTAGGGGAATATCTTTTTCGTGTCGATCTTGTTTTTCAAGAAATTATCATACATAATCCTTATCAAAAAAAAAAAAGAAAAAAAATAGATAAAGATAATTTTTAAAGTTTGCACATTTTTAGAAGAAAATTTTTTTTTATGTCGATCTTCTCCAAGTTTTCCAAGAAATTACGCAATCTTTATCGAAAAAGTAAACAGAAAGTAAAGGTAATTTTTAAAGTTTGCACATTTGTAGGGGAATATTTTCATTTCTTCTTTTCTTTTTTTTTTTTTTTTTGGTCTTAATTACTTTTTTGAAAGAAAATCATTCGTGTCGATCTTCTCCAAGTTTTTCAAAAAATTATACAAAAAAAAAAATAAGCAGTAAATAAAGGTAATTTTTAGTTTGCACATTTTTAGGGAAATATTCTTTATTTCTTTTTGATCTCAATTACTTTTTTAAAAAATCTTTGAAAATCATTCGTATCGATCTTCTCCAAGTTTTTCAAGAAATTATACAATTCTTATCAAAAAAAGTAAATATTAAGTAAAGGTAATTTTTAGAGTTTGCACATTTATAGGGGAATATTTTCATTTTTTTTTTTTTTTTTTTTTTGGTCTTAATTATTTTTTTGAAAGAAAATCATTCGTGTCGATCTTCTCCAAGTTTTTCAAAAAATTATACAAAAAAAAAATAAGCAGTAAATAAAGGTAATTTTTAGTTTGCACATTTTTAATGGAATAGCCTTCGTTTCTTTTTGGTCTCAATTACTTTTTTCAAAGATCCTCGAAAATCATTCGTATCGATCTTCTCCAAGTTTTCTAAGAAATTACACAATTATAAAAAAAAATAAACAGTAAATAATTTTTAGGAATTTGTTTCATTTCTTTTTGATCTCAATTACTTTTTTCAAAGATCCTCGAAAATCATTCGTATCGATCTTCTTCAAGTTTTTCAAGAAATTATACAAAAAAAGTAAGTAAAGGTAATTTTTATAATTTGCACATTTTTAGGGAAATATCCTTCATTTCTTTTTTGATCTCATTTACATTTTTGAAAGAAAAAAAAAAAAAATTAAAGTATCAAATAATTCGAACAAAAAGAACTTTCGAAACGATTCCTGATAATTCTTCTCTGAACAAGCGCGTGACGACGACGATTTCTTAGTTGATCGATCGGCTGGATGCAATCATCGATTATTATTATTATTATTATTGGATACACGCTTAGATACCACTAGATATTTATTAGACCATCTAGACAGATCCAGAGCCACTTCCTTCCTTCCCTTCTCCCCGTTCGTAAAATAATAACATAGTGTTCTCTCTCCACTTTCTTTTTCGTATCGATCTTAAGTAATCGGATACCGGCGACGATCAGCTGACGATCGGCATCCTCTCCACGCTCCAGTAATAAGCGCGTGGCGCTCGATCGAGATTACAACCACGCCATGAATTTTAAGGGCTTGATTGTTAGTTATATTTTAATAACCGCTCGGTCGGTAAAGTCGGCCGCGATCGATCCGATTCTCGCCTGGCGAGGCTGTGAGTTTGTATACACGACAAATTGCCCATCCTTCCGATCCTTATTTTTCCTCTCTTCTTCTGAAGAAAAAGAGAGTTCTTCTTCACAAGAAGAGCCGCGTTGATTCGTTTGGCGGAAAGAGGATTGGAGGAGGAGGAGGAGAATAAGGATGTATAATGATTGTAGAGAATATGTAAT